TGCCGAGGGCCCAGGTTCAATCCCTGGTCAGGGAACTAAGATCCCGCAAGCCACACAGCGTGGCTGGGAAACTTCATTCATTCATTCCTCAGAGAGAAGGAAAATGATATATGTCAGAAACTAGATCTACATAAAGGAAGAGCAATAGAATAAATGAATAAATATATAATAAACATATAAAAGAATCAACGTAGATAAAATCTAATTTTTCTTATTCTTAATATATCTAACAGATAACTGTTCAAACTAATAACAGCAACAAATTATTTGGTGATTATAGCTTATGCGTAAGTGAAACGAATGATAACAGTGTTATAAGGCCTGGGAGGGAGTAATTGGGAATACTCTGATATTAGCTACTGGCACTATCCATGAAATGGTATAGTGTTACTTGAAAGAGAACTTGGGTTAGCTGTAAATGTATATTGCAAAAACAAGGGCAACCACTAAAAAAGTTTCTAAAAGTATAATGATGTGCTAAGTGAAATAAGCCAACATAAAAGGACAAATATGTCCTTTTGTGCAATAGGCAAATTCAGAGAGACAGAAAGTATAATAGACGTTACTAAGGGCTGGGGGAGGAGAGTGGGAGGAGCCACCCAGGGCAGAAACCCTGAATACAGGGTTTCTGTTGGAGATGATGAAAAAGTTCTGGAAATGGAGAATGTTAGTGGTTGTACAACACTGAGGAAGAAGTTAATTTTTTAAAAACCTTTAACACTGAAGTATTTTCAATATGCATCTTTTAATTAATTGCAGTCTACTTACAAATAATACCATACCACTTCATGTGCTGCACAAAGATCTTACAACCATATACTCCCAAATCCTCCCTCTCACCCTTTGTGCTACTATAGTTACATATGCTATAAACACACAATATACTGCTACCATTTTTTTGTTTGTTTCAAACTGGTATCTTTTAGAGACACTAAAAATAAGGAAAACAATGAACTTCATATCTAGCTACATCCATGCCATTTCTATTGTTATTTCTTTCTGTAGATCTAAATTTCTGTCTTATTTCAAATTCCTTCTGCCTTAAGAACTTCCTAATACTTTTTTGTAGATAATGAAACCTCTTAATTTTTGTTTTCCTGAAAAGGTCTATATTTCTCCTCCACTTCTCGAAAAAATTTCTGCTGAGGGAAGAATTCTGGGTTGATAGGTTCATTTCTTTCAACGCTTTAAAGATCTTACTCCACTGTGCTCTGGTTTGGATAGTTTCCCCCAAAAATTTCACTATAATTCTTATATTTGTTCCTCTATACGTAATGTGTCTTTTTTTCCTCTGGCTGCCTTCCAGATTTTCTCTTTCCCTTTGGATTTCAGCAGTCTGAATATGATGTGTCTGGATGCATTTTATTGTTATTAATTATCCTGTTTTGCATTGCGTGAGCTTCTCTGATCTGTGGTGTAGTATCTTTGTTTTCCTTTGGAAAATTGTCTGCCGTTATCCCTTCAAACATCTCTTCCTCACCTCTGCTCTTTTCTCCTTCTGAGATTCCAATTACACACAAATTACACTCTTTTTTTTAATACTGTCCACAGCTGTTGGGTGTTCTAGTCTGTTTTTTCCCCACTTTTTTCTCTTTATATTTCAGTCTGGGCAATTTCTACTGACTTACCTTCAAGTATACTGATTTCTTCCTCATCTGTGTCAAGTCAACTGATGAGCCTGTCAAAGGCACTCATCTGTTACCATGTTTTTCATTTCTATTAGATTCTTTCTAATAGTTTCCATCTCTGCTGAAATTCCTCTTCTGTTCATGCATGTTGTCCACCTATTCTGCTAGAGCCTCTAACGTATTAATCACAGTTATTTAAAATTCTCTGACAGTTTAAACATCTGGGTCATACAAGTCTGGTTCTATTGAATGCTTTGCCTCTTGACACTTTGCTGTTTTTCTCTTCCTTCTGTGTGTCTCTCATGATTTTTCGTTGAAAGCTAGACATCCTGGGTAGAACAGTCAAGACTGAGACACATAGTATTTACTCCCGGAAATGAGCATGTTTCTTCTTAGGTCTTAAGTTCAAGAGAGAAGGTTAAGTCAATCTAGTTAGGAGTAGAGCTGGGTTTGGGTTTTATTGTTGCTAACAGTTATTCACAGTGTACCATAGGCTTCAGATTCCACTAGCACTGTCTGGTGTTTATGCTGTAGGCTCATTTGCTATACGGTTTTTTCCCTCAACATTAGCTGCTCCACCCTCACATTTAGATCTTCTCTTTGTGACTACACCTGTTGTAACTACACTTCTCTTTGTGACTGTCTCTCTCTCTCCACACTCTTGCCTCTCCCCCACAAAGAGACCTCTACTACCCACAATTTTCTAACTTGGTAGTGGGGGACAAGCATTCTCTGAGATTCAGCCTCAGTCTTGTGAGATTCTGTGTCCCTTGGTCTTGGGGGTGGAAACTTCTCAGTGATCCTAACCTTCCCCCAACTGTAGGGGACTTCTGATGCTCCAGCATGTATTCCTACCCCTCTCCTACCTACATCCCTTCCCCAATCAGTTTGATGCTTTTGCTCTTGAAGACCCAGGTAAAGCTTAGTACCTTTCCCACAGTGGGGGTTCTTCTCTCCAACAGACATGCACCATGAGGAAGGCTTTTTCACTATCTTACACTCTTCCTCTTTGCAAATGTGGTTTATCTCTAATTCCTTCTTCAGCCCTGTCTTCCCTCCTTCCTTCATGCCAAACTTGGTTATGTAAAACTCTTGCTGGTGGCTTGGACATACATTACCATTGCTCTAGAGTTCTGAGTTCTACCAGTTTTGCCCATGATCTGCTAGTCATAGCCATCCCTTCTCAACATCTTCCTATACCCATGCTTGATTTTTACTATATTTGGCAGCCCTTCACCATATACTGATTCAGGTTTATGGTTAGGCCAAGTCCTAATCCAGAGCAAAGCCCTAACTCTCTTCAATTTTATTAAGGCTCAGAGAGGAAGCTGCAGAAGAAAAGTGTGAAGCTAGCAGAGGCTGGTTCATGAGGTTGAAGGAAAAAGGACATTTCTATAACATAAAAGTGCAAGGTGGAGCAGCGAGTGCTGATGTAGAAGCTGCAGCAAGTTATCCAGAAGATCTAGCTAAGATAATGGATGGAGGTAGCTACCCTAAATAACAGATTTTCAGTGTAGATGAAACAGCCTTATCTTGGAAGAAGATGGAAGAAAATGCCATCTAGGACTTCCATAGCCAGAGAAGTCAAAGCCTGGCTTCAAAGCTTCAAAGGACAAGCTGACTCTCTTGTTAGGGGCTAATGCAGATGGTGAGCTTAAGCTGAAGCCAGCGCTCATTTACCATGAAAAACTCCTAGGGCCTTTAAGAATTATACTAAATCTAACCTGCCTGTGCTCTATAAATGGGAAAACAAAGCCTGGATGACCGCACATCTGTTTTCAACATGGTTTACTGCATATTTTAAGCCCACTGTTGAGACCTACTGCTCAGAAAAAGATTCCTTTCAAAATAGTACTGCTCACTGACAATGCATCTGGTTACCCAAGAGTTCTGATGGAAATGTACAAGATTAATAACGTTTTCACGCCTGCAAACACAACATCCATTCTGCAGCCTATGGATCAAGAAGTCATTTCAACTTTCAAGTCTGACTACTTAAAAAATACATTTCATGAAGCCGTAGCTGCTATAGTGATTCCTCTGATGAATCTAACAATTGAAAGCCTCCTGGAAAGGATTCATCATTCTAGATGCCTTTAATTACATTTGTGAACCATGGGAAGAGGTCAAAATGAACATTAACAGGTGTTTGGAAGAAGCTGATTCCAACCCTCACGGATGACTTTGAGGGGTTCAGGACTTCAGTGGAGAAAGTAACTGCCAATGGGGTGGAACAGCAAGAAAACTAGAAGTGATGCCTGAAAATGTGACTGAATTGGTGCAATCTCATGATAAAACCTGAACAAACGAGGAGTTTCTTCTTCTTCTTCCTCTTTTTTTTTTTTAATCTTTTGGCCACGTCGTATAGCATGTGGGATCTTAGTTCCCCGACCAGGGATCGAACCCATTCCCCCTGCATTGGCACTGTGGAATCCTAACCACTGGACCACCAGGGAAGTCCCAGGAGTTTCTTCTCATGGATGAGCTTTCTTGAGATGGAATCTACTCCTGGTGAAGATGCTGTGAAGATTGTTGAAATGACAACAAAGGATTTAGAATATTACATAAACTTAGTTGATAAAGCAGTGGCAGGGCTTGAGAATTGACTCCAATTTTGAAAGAACTTCTACTATGGGTAAAATGCTATCAAATAGCATTGCACCTACAGAGGAATCATTCGTAAAAGGAAGAGTCAATCCATGGGGCAAACTTCACTGTTGTCTTTTTTCAAGAAACTGCCACGGCCACCCCAACCCTTCAGCCACCACCACCCTGACCAGTCAGCAGCATCAACATTTAGGTAACACCCTCCACCAGCACAAAGACTACTCACTAAAGGCTCAGATGATGACTAGCACTCTTAAGCAATAATGTATTTTAAAATTAAGGTATGTACTTTTTTTTAGACATAACGCTATTGCACACTTAACAGACTATAGTATAGTTTAAACATACTTTTATATGTACTGGGAAACCAAAAAATTCGTGTGACTTGCACTTTATTGCAACACTTGCCTTACTGTGGTGGTCTGGAACTGAACCCGCAACAGCTCCAAGGTCTGCCTGTACCAGACTATAAATCATTTTCTTCAACTGAAGAGGTTTTTGGGGTTTTTTTTGACAAAAATAAAGGAATATTCATGACTGGTCAAAAAAGACAGGTTGGCATCGAGTGGCAAAAAATGCACAAAACCAAAAGGGTTTTAGAATATGTCAAGTTTTCTTAATAAAAGTGGCAACAGGGGGGAAAAAGAAAAAGCACTCAAATTCTCTCAAGTATTCTACCTTAAAATAACTCTAAACTCTCTACTGATGGTGCAGTGAGTCAAAGAAAAGAAATATAGTAAGTCAAGCAATATAGTCACCGCTCACATGTTTAAAAGACCCGTAGGGAACTGCTGTGGATCCTGTCTCTTCTAGATAGTCTTCCCAGCTTAATTCCACTTCTTCCACTCCAGATCCAGCATCTGGAATTAAAAACAACACAAAAACAGGTAAGACTCAATTAAAAAAAAACTTAAGGTATAAAAACATAAACTTAGTAAACCTTACAATTTACTTCACAAGTTAATTGACTTTTCACACAAAATAACTAAGTATTCTTTTTAAATAGCAGGTTCCCTTAGTGCACTGATTGTCAATGAATCTCAACACCATAGAGTGTGACATGCTGTCTCCTGCTGGGATCTATCTGGGATTCACCTAAATAGATCACATAAAGCTGGTGAGAGTGTAACTACTATAAACCCTTTGTACTGTAATTTAGTATCTAATGCCAAATATCTGAGATCCTTAATAGGCATTTCAAACTTAAATTTTCAATCTGTTCTTCCTTAGTACTCTCCAACTGAGTAAAAGTTACCAATGGTTGATATTTTGACTCAATCCAAAAGCTGTGGAGTTATCCTTATTTTCTTCCCTTTCTTTCACATCTCACATCCAATCCATCAGAAAATTCTGGGTACTACCTTTAAAAATATCCCAAATCTAATCACCTTCCACCATTTCTACTGCTATCTCTCTAAGTGCAAGGTCTAACTACAATATCTTTCACCTTTTAATCACACAATAAAATCTAAAATTTGGGAGACTGCAAAGGCCCTATGTGATCTGACCCCTAGTTCCCGACCCTGACTCTGCATCCCCAACCAGCCTCTTGTTTGCTCACTGCACTCGAGGGACACTGAGTTTCTTGCCACTCCTCTCTAACCATGCTCTTCCCTCAAAGTCTCTGCGTTTGTTATTTCCTCCGCTTAGACTCATTCCCCTGTCATTGACAGCTTTACGTCATTCAAGCCTCTACTCAACACCTCTCCAGAAAAGCCTTCCACCAGAAAGGCCTTCCATCAGTGTGCATCTAAAGTAGAAACCTCCAGCCTCTGCTTTCATTATCTTCACGGCATTCATTCCTATCTACAAGCATACCATGTCTTTTTATCTTCCCCATTAGACAATAAACTCTGTGAAGACAGGAACTTTGTTTTGGTCACTCCTACATCTCTGTCACAGCAGAGACTCAATACATTTTTGATGAGTGAGCAAAGATTCAAACACTCCATTGGAATCCAATAATCCCAATTCACATAAGCTCCCTAAGAGCAGGGTTTTGTTCACTGACTATCCCCACCGCCCAAAACAATGCCTGTCACTAGGAAGTCTGTGATAAACAGCTGCTGAATGAGTATACCCTTGGGGAGCCTGTGCTTTACACAAACACAAGGAGGCAAATACAAGGATGCTCACCACAGCACTGTTTCTAACAGCAACAGACAGAAGCAATCAGTAGAAGAATAGATAAATTATGGCAATCCTACAACGGAGTACTACTACATATAGCAGCTGAAATAAATGAACTATATTGACATATATAAATCTCAAAAAAATCACATCAAGTAAAAACAGCAGGTGCAGAATGAAAAGCACAAGATACAATTTAGGCTTCAAAACAAAACTGCAATATAATGTTTATAAATACAAATCAATAACAGTATAAAAAAAGGATGGGAAGAATATACATTAACAGTGCTACCTTTGGGGAGGGAGGGAAGCAAAGAAGATTAGAAGGAAAGTAAAAGAGCCTTAAACTGTATTATGTTTTATTTAAGAAATGAAAACATGTTCAACATCATTAGGGAAATGCATATCAAAACCACAGTGAGATACCACCTCACAGTCATTAGGATGGCTATTATCAAAAAAGCAGAAAATAAGTGTAGGCAAGGCTGTGAGAAACTGGAATCTTTGTGCACTGCTGGTCTCGGAATATAAAATGGTACAGCCACAGTGGAAAAATTTTTGGTGGTGTCTCAAAAAATTAAAAATATAATTACCATATGATCCAGCAATTCCACTTCTGGGTATATACCCAAAAGAACTGATAGCAGGGACTCAAACAGATATCTATACATGAATGTTTATAGCAGCAATATTCACAATAGCCAAAAGGCGGAAGTAACTGACTCAAGTGTCCATCAACAGATGAATGGATAAACAAAATGTGCTATATGCATGCAATGAAATATTATTTAGTCATAATAAGGAAGGAGGGGCTTCCCTGGTGGCACAGTGGTTAAGAATCCGCCTGCCAATGCAGGGGACATGGGTTCGAGCCCTGGTCTGGGAAGATCCCACATGCCGCAGAGCAACTAAGCCCGTACGCCACAACTACTGAGGCTGAGCTCTAGAGCCCATGAGCCACTACAACTGAGCCCACGTGCCACAACTACTGAAGCCTGCATGCCTAGAGCCCGTGCTCTGCAACAAGAGAAGCCACCGCAATGAGAAGCACGTGCACCACAGCGAAGAGTAGCCCTTGCTCGCCACAACTAAAGAAAGCCCTCATGCAGCAATGAAGACCCAATGCAGCCAAAAATAAATAAATAAATTTATATATATATATATATATAAAGCACCACATCTCTGAAAAAAAAGGAAGGAAATTCTGACACAGGCTACAGGCTACAATGTGGATGAACCATGAGAACATTACACTAAATGAAACAAGCCAGCCACAAAAGATCAAATATTCTATGATTCCACTTACTTGAGGTAGTTAGAGTGGTCAAATTCATAGAGACAGAAAGAAGAATGGTAGTTTCCAAGGACTGGGGGGAGAGGGGAATGGGGAGTTAGTGTTTAATGGGTACAGAGTTTCAGTACGGGAAGATGAAAAAGTTTTGGAGATGGACGGTGGTAATAGCTGCACAATGATGTGAATGTATGTAATGTAATGCCACTGAACAGTACACTTAAAAATGGCTGAAATGGTCAATTTTATGTTATGGATACTTTACCGCAATTTTGAAAATGAAAACAAATATTGGACAATGTTAATTTATTATTTATTAATTTTTAAATTCTGCATTGTAGGTATGTGGGTGTTTCCTATATTGTTTTCATTTCTATGTATTTGAAAATTTTCCCTAGAAATACAACAAACCAACAAAGACTTTATTGGGAGCATCCTGGAAGTATGAGCCAGTAGAAATTCAACTTCCATCACTAAAACACAACAAGGCTGGACATTCATATTCATGGTCCTTGGCAAGAACCCTAGTCCCTCAAATAGCACGCTGATTTAAAAATAAACAATAACAACAATAAAAGCAGTGAATGAAAGGACTAAAATCTCTCATTCATCAAAAACTACCTAAAAACTGAGAAGAAACTAGACAAATGATCTGATAGAAAAGTCAGCAAAACACATGAAAAGAGAATTTATTTATTTTAATTTTAATAAATTTATTTTATTTATTTTTGGCTGCGTCGGGTCTTCGTTGCTGTGCATGGGCTTTCTCTAGTTTCAGCAAGCAGGGGCTACTCTTCGTTGCGGTGCATGGGCTTCTCATTGTGGTGGCTTCTCTTGTTGCAGAGCACGGGCTCTAGGTGTGCAGGCTTCAGTAGTTGCGGCACGCAGGCTCAGTAGCTGTGGCGTGGGCTCTAGAGCGCAGGTGCAGTAGTTGTGGCACATGGGCTTAGTTGCTCCGTGGCATATGGGATCTTCCCGGACCAGGGCCTGAACCCGTGTCCCCTGCATTGGCAGGCGGGTTCTTAACCACTGCGCCACCAGGGAAGTCCCGAGAATTTATTTTTTAAAAATGCAAATAGTCCTTAAACATATGGAAACGTTTGCAAATTTATTCATTTTAAAAAAATGCAAATGGAAACTACACTGAGATATCAGATGGAAAAAATTCCAAAGTCTGACAACACACTCCATGGTGAGGCAGGTAATTAAGCAGGTAAAGCATAACGACACAACCCCGGTGAAAGAACTTGGCAATATCTAGCAAAATTACATATGTATTTACCTTTTGATCCAGCAATCCCACTTCTAGGAATCTATCCCAAAGATATGCTGGCAAAAATACAAAAAGACATATGTACAAAGCTACTGATTGCGGTACTATATGTAATACCAAGACTGGAAACAACCCAAATGTCCATCAATAAGGAACAGGGTGAATAAAATACGGTATATACATCCAGTACTATACATCTGTAAAAAAGAATGAGAATGATTTCCATATACTGATGTGGAATAATCTTCAGTATACACTAAGTGAAACAGCAAAACACACAGCAGTTTTTATTGTAGCTCTAGTTTTTGTATAAGGTGAGAGAGAGATGAATATATATGTAAATGCTCACACATATCTTTTTACATTTTAAAACATGAAAAATAGAATAAAAAGTAATAAAACTTGTTGTATATATGGAGAAGAACAAAAAGGATGAATACTATCAGGCTGAAAGTGGGAATGTTGTTATATAATTTTGACTTTGTAACTATGTATATACTTTACACAATTCAGAAACATTTAAATTAAAAATTCTAAAAACTGAAAATGAACTTAAATATGCCTAACTGTTGGTGTCAAAACTGCAAAGAAAACAGGATCCCTTTAAGTCATTAATAAAATACAAAATTTTGACTACAAACCCAAGTGGAATATATCTAAAGGCAAAAACATAAAGAAATCTTAAACTGTACACTATTATCCTACTGATATTTGGAAGGTTGGTATTGTTATTGTGAAAAAATTATATGAATATTATAGGATAAAAACAAATAAGTGATGATACTAAAGACATTACAAAACAACACATTTCTAAAAGAAAAGAGACATGAATATAAAATCAAAGAAATAAAAACCCTGTAATTTTAAATTAAAATTGTAAATATCAGATGAAGCCATCTGATTTTCTTTTCTCTTCAAAAGACGTGTATTTCCTAGCTATTGCTATGGATAAGACCTAGAAGAAATGGCAATCTGCTATCAATGAGCACCCCAGCACCTGGATTGTAGACTGTAAATATCATATCCACTTAAAAAAAGAGAGCTCCTCAGAGAAATGGCAAATTGCAAGCTTGGGGCAGGAAATGTGCAAGAGGTACCTTGGAATCTTATTATACCAGAAAGTAAGGACTAGAACTATCAAAGATATATGACATCACATCCAAAGAACACAGGAACCAATCTGAAAGAACTCTCATTGGTCTAGAATGAGGCAATTTGATCATCAAATGAATGATGACAGCAATAGATTCAAATTCATATATAAAATATATATGTAATGTATATACGATATGAGTTAATAATAACACTTGAAAGAAAACAAATCAACTTCCTAAATAGCGGAGTGAGTACCTCAGTGAACCCACTCTTCCAGAAAAGCAGCAAAAATACTGGCTAAACAATGAAAATTGACCATTTCAAAGTTCTGAAATTAACTGAAGGCACAGAACAAACTGAAAAGCATCTATCAAGACAAGTTACAGAACCTCTGTTAGAATAGTGGGATTGTGGCTCTTTAAGTTGGAGCTATTCCCATCTTTCATTCCTCCCCAGCTCAAAACAAATTTTAGAACTGAAAATACAATAACCAAAAAACAAAACAAAACAAACTCCTCTACAGATAAGCTCTACAGCAGAATGAGGAGGACAGGGAAAGAAACACCAAAATTAAACAGCAATAGAAAACACCCAATTTCAACAATGGAGAGAAAAAAAAATGAAAAGCGCCTCACAGAGCTATGCCACAATAGCAACAGACCTAACAAAAGTGTCTTCAGAGTCCCAAAAGAAGACAAAGAGAACAGAGCAGAAGAAGTCCTAGAAGAAATAATGGCTGAAAAGGTTCCAAATTTGTCAAAAGACATAAGCCTATACTTTTAAGAAGGTGAGAAAACTCCCAACAAGATAAACCCAAGGAAATCTGTGCACAGATACACAGAGTCAAACTGCTGAAAACTAGAGACAAAAAATCCTCAAAGCAGCAAGAGAAACAATACCTCTTTTAAGGAGAGTGGCGGGAGACAGAATTCCAATGACAGCAAATTTTCATCAGAAAGGGAGGCCAGAAGGCACAATATTTTTCAGGAGATGAAGAAAAGAACTTTCAACTCAGAATTCTATATTTAGCAAAAATATCCTTTAATAATAAGTGGCAAAATTAAGATATTCTCAGATGAAGGGAAACTAATGAATTCTATCACCAAGAGACCTACCCTAATAAAATGGCTAAAGGAAGTTCTATAAACAGAAATGAAATGACAGAGAAGGAATCTTGGAAAATCAGGAAGGAATAAAGAACAATGAAAAGAGTAAAAAATACTGGAAAACATACTACATTTTCCTTCTCCTCTTGAATTTTCTAAATTATATTTGACAGTTGAAGCAAAACTTTTAACAATATCTGATGTGGTTCTCAAAACATGTAGAAGAATATTTAAGACAAGTTTTATTATAAATAAGAGTAGGAAAAGAGACATAAAAATAGGTAAAATTTTTACACTTCACTCAAATTAACAAAATGATAAAACCAGCAGAGCGTGGTAAGTTAAATACATATAATGTAATACCTAGAGCAACCACTAAAAAGCTATGTAAAGAGATACACTCAAGAACACTGTATAGACAAAACAAAATGAAATTCTAAAAAAATGTTCAGGTAACCCACAGGAAGGCAGGAAAAGATAGGAACAAAAAAACAGAGAAAACAGGGCTTCCCTGGTGACGCAGTGGTTAAGAATCTGCCTGCTAATGCAAGGGAAGCAAGTTCAAGCCCTGGTCCGGGAAGATCCCACATGCCGTGGAGCAACTAAGCCCGTGCGCCACAACTGCTGAGCCTGTGGTCTAGAGCTCGCAAGCCACAACTACTGAACCCGCAAGCCACAGTTACTGAAGCCCGTGTGACTAGAGCCTGTGCTCCGCAACAACAGAAGCCACAGCAATGAGAAGCCCGTGCACTGCAACGAAGAGCAGCCCCCCGCTTGCAGCAACTAGAGAAAGCCTGTGCGCACCAACGTGCTAAAAGTAAATAAATAAATAAATAAATGTATTAAAAAAACAGAGAAAACAAATGGACAAAAATGGCAGACGGGGCTTCCCTGGTGGCGCAGCGGTTGAGAGTCCGCCTGCCGATGCGGGGGACACGGGTTCGTGCCCCGGTCCGGGAAGATCCCACATGCCGCGAGGCGGCTGTGCCCGTGAGCCATGGCCGCTGAGCTTGCGCGTCCGGAGCCTGTGCTCCGCAATGGGAGACGCCACAGCAATGAGAGGCCCGCGTACCGGGGAAAAAAAAAAAAAAAAAAAAGGCAGACGTGAGCCCTAACATATCAATAATTACATTAAGTGTAAATGATCGACACCAATTACAAGACTGAGAAAAAAAATTTTAATGACTACATGCTGTTACAAGAAACTTACTCAAAATATAACAATTTACACAGGTTGAAAGTGAAAGGATGAGAGACTTCCCTGGTGGTGCAGTGGTTAAGAATCAGCCTGCCAATGCAGGGAACACGGGTTCGATCCCTGGGCCAGGAAGACCCCACATGCCGCGAAGCAACTAAGCCCGTGGGCCACAACTACTGAGCCTGCGCTCTAGAGCCCATGCACCACAACTACCAAGCCCACACACCGAAACTACTAAAGCCAGTCTGCGCCCTCTAGGGCCTGCATGTCGCAACTACCGAGCTGCGAGCTGCAACTACTGAAGCCCATGTGACTAGAGCCTGTGCTTCTCAACAACAGAAGTCACAGCAATGAGAAGCCCACGCACCGCAACAAAGAGTAGCCCCTGCTTGCCACAACTAGAGAAAGCCCGCGCGCAGCAACAAAGACCCAGTGCAGACAAAAATAAATAAAATTAAAAAAAAAAAGAAAGTGAAAGGATGAAAAGGATATACCATGCAAACATTAATAAAAAGAAAGTAGGAATAGGTAAATCTGTAGAGACAGAAAGTAGACATGGTTGCCAGAGGGTAGATTAAGCAAGAAATGACTGCTAATGGTTTCTTCTGAGGAGTGATGAAAATGTTCTGGAATTAGGTAGTAGTGTTGGTCACACAACTTTCTGAATATACTAAAAACTACTGAACTGTATACTCTCAAAGTGTAAATTTTATAGTATGTGAATTATATCTTTAAAAAATATTTCAATAAAGATGTTTTTAGGAAACCTCAATAGTTAAAAAAATTATTAATTAAAAAGCAAACAAACCATATGATTAATAAATGAGCCAAAAATACAAAGACATGGTACTGAAGGGGATACAGGGATAGCAAGTAAGCACCTGTTCAACATCATTTGCATTCAGCCAATAGGGGAAAGAAAATTAAGACCAGGATGAGCTATCATTACACATCTATCAGCATGACTTAAATAAAAATAGTGACAATACCAAATGGCTGTGAGGATGTGAAGAAATCAGATCTCATATACTGCTGCTAAGAATGCATAATGGTACAGCCACTCTGGAAAGTAGCTGTGCTCCTCGGCATTTATCCCAGAAAAATGAAATTTTATGTATATGATTGTTTATAGCATCTTTATTCATAAAAACCAAAAACTAGAAGCAACCAAAATGTACTACAACAGATGAACGGTTAACCAAACTGCAGTATATCCACGGAATACTAGCAAGCAATAAAAGGGAACAGACTACTGATACATTCAAGAATTTGGATGGATCTCAGGGGCATTATTTTGAGTGAAAAAGTCCATCTCAAAAAGTCACATACTGTGTGGTTCTATCTATGTAACATTCTGGAAATGACAAAATTATAGAGATGAAGAACCGATTAATGGTTACCTGGGGTTAGGGAATATTGGGGAAGAGGAGTAGGTGTAACTATGAAGGGGCAGTACAAAGGAGCTCTGTGTGGTGATGGAATAGTTCTGTATCTTGACTGAGGTGGTGCTTACAGGAATCTACACGTGATAAAATGACAGAACTACATACATTTTATACATAGCTTTTATACTGTACTATACTTAAATGAGATGTAACTTACAGTAGAAACTGAGTGAATGGTACATGAGAACTGTCAGTATTTTTGCAAGCTCCTATGAATTAATAATTACCTCAAAAGAAACTTTGTGTTTTTTTTTTAACGAAGTCTGCTCATAAAAGTTACTTACTTTTTCAACAAACATGCTGAGTACACGCCCACCCCCACCCCTCAGTGCCAGGTTCTCTGCCAGGTACAAAGAAAGACAACTCACGTCTTCAAAGAGCTTCCCATTTAGTGGTAGAAAGATAAGCCATACAACATAACACAGGTAAGTAATGGAATTCTGCACTCTGAAGAATGGATTTTGCTCAGCAAAACCAATACCTGCATCAATCTGCTGCTCCCCGTTCATTTCCACAGCACATGGGTGATCTCCTCCCCACACAGAGGACAGGCCTTATAGTTATGCTACAGTCTGAAGATTACTTGCAGTTCTCAAGCATCTGTTCAATGGGCATCCAAGGGTCCAAATGAAAGTGCTGAAAAATCAAAAAGAACACATTAACAGGCTGCAGCCCAGTGTTTATTCAGTCATAAGACATGATACTCTGGTGGGTTGAAAGGGCAGATAAAACAAAAATACACTGGCAGAATAGATGGAACTAGAGAAAAAAAATTTGACACCTTTTCTAATTTTGAAGACTGTGTGTGTGTGTGTGTGTGTGTGTGTGTGTGTGTGTGTGTGTGTGTGGAGAGAGAGAGAGAGAAAGAGCTATCAAGACCTTGATATCTAAAAATCACAAAAAATCAACATATATATGAATCACTACCCCTTCAACTTAGATTATAATACTGAGCACCACTATCCACAAAAATTCTAATTCCTAATGAAATCCTGGGGGGAAAAGTTAGCTTTCAATGCCCTGTCTTAACCAGTAAATAAGATTCAGGATACGACATATTATTTTATCTAGTTTTCTATTTCATTTACCTAGAATATTATGCAGAACCAAAAAGTATCAACTATATTTGTCTACAATTACACTTATAAAGAGAGCTCAATCCCTCCAAAATAACCTCTGAAACCATTTATTCTTTTTTAAAAAGGCTTTATTGGGATATGATTCACATGCCAAAATCTCCCATTTTAAGTGTACAATTCAATAATTTTCAGTAAATTTACAGTTGTATAACCATCACTATAATCCAATTTTAGAATATTTCCATCACCCTGGAAAGAAACTTCATTCCCCATTTGCAGTTCTTCTCCATTCCATCCCTAGCCTCAGGCATCCACTAATCTGCTTTTGTCTCTAGAGATTTTGCCTCTTCTGGACATTTCACACAAATGAAATCATACAACATGTGGTCTTTTGTGGACTTCTTTCACTCAGCATGTTTTTGAGGCCCATCCATGCTGCAGCATGGATGAATCTATTTATTCTTGCTTTACATACATGTAGAACAATCTAAGATACTGCCTTTATATATGCCTAACAGATTAGAAAGAGTAAATGCAAGGGGGAAAAGGAGCTGCTGCAGGAAGGCGTGATGTGAACTAACCTCAAGGGCAACAATGCAGAAAACTATAAAGGTGGAATAGCAACTCAACAGCCACAGCTGCCTGGGTGATACCTACAAGAGCAAACAACTCTGAACCTCTCAAAAAGATTCTGATTCTGTATTAGATCCCCAGTAAAAGATTATCATAAAAATCTTTTAAACACTAAGAAAAAATTAGTTTAAATTTTAACATACTCTTTGAAAAGGTACAAGCTACCTCAAGTACAACAGTGTGAGCTGGGTGATAGGGATACCCAGATTCTAGTCCCAGCTCTACCCGTAACTAAATATGCAATCTTATACAGACTATATTATGTCCTTTTTTTTTTTTTTTTTTTTTTGCGGTACGCGGGCCTCTCACTGTTGTGGTCTCTCCCGTTGCGGAGCACAGGCTCCAGACGTGCAGGCTCAGTGGCCACGGCTCACGGGCCTAGCCGCTCCACGGCATGTGGGATCTTCCCGGACCGGGGCAAGAACCCGTGTCCCCTGCATTGGCAGGCAGATTCTCAACCACTGCGCCACCAGGGAAGCCCTATTATGTCCATTTTTAAAATCTGTAAAATGAGTGTAACATTTTCAGATTTTAAAACTAAATTTCATATTGAGCATAGAGAAAATCTTAATAACAGTTAAAATTATGGATATCCCATTTGAGGTAACTGCCAGTTATCCAAAATCTTTTCATATAACAACATAAGCACTGAAACTTACACTTTCGCAGATAGGAACAACTGAATAGAAACCTGGTAGTGAGATTTAAAGCCTCTAAATAAGCTTTCTTCTCTCAGTTTACTTTCCTACCCCAAGCCCAAAACATTCAAACTGTACCATTCCACCTGCCAATTCATTCACTCCCCATATTTATTAAACACTAGCTCATTACCATCCACTATTCTAGGAAATAAGGGTAAAGCAATCAAGAGAGACTTGGTTCCCGCATTCACGATGCTTATTTTCAACTGGTGTAAGACAATTTAAGCCAACAATTTAAAACAATTATTTAAAGTGCTATGAAGGAAAAGCAGCAGTAGGTGCTAAGATAGAACATAATGGCAGACCTAACCTAAACTAAGAGGTCACTGACAGCGTCCCTGGGGCGGGGAAAGGTATTTAAGCTGACACTAAAGGGGAAACAGCAGTTAGGCAAAAAGGGCAGAAAGGAAAGAATAGTCCAGGAATAGGGAGCAGCACATACAAAGGCTCTAAGGTGGGGAGGAACTGAGAGCAGGCCACTGTGGCTGGAGCATGGGAACCAACCGGGTAAGTGGCACACAATGAAACTGGACAGGAAGAGTAGGAATACCGCAGTTGATACAAACTGGGGATTTACCATAAGCTGGGTACTGTCCAAAGCACTTAAACATATTAATCCATTTAATACTCTCAACAACTGGACAAGGTGACATCACTATCATGAGGAAACAGGCACAAAACAGGTACTACCTGCCAGTGTCCCACAGGTAGTTAAGTAGGAAAACCAGGTCTCAAACCTAGCAAAACGTCCACATTATATGTCCTCAAACGCTGTATTATAGTGCCTCTCAATGGGAAGCAACCGAGGGTTTTCTTAAGCAGAGAAAGGATCAAATCTGTGTTTTTAAAAACATCACTCTGGGAAAAAAAAAAAATTACTCTGGACCCAATCAGAGAAACCATAAAGGAGTGACAAAAAACCATAAAAGTATAAAATTTCTACATGGCAAAAGACACCGTAAATAAAAGTCAAAGATAACAGAGGAGGTCTTAAAAGTTCTCATCACACACAAAAAATTTTTTCTAACTATGTATGGTGACAGATGTTAACTAGATTTATTGCAGTAATCTTCACAATGTATACAGATATCAAATCATTATGCTGTATGCCTTAAACTAATATAATGTTATATGTCAATTTTACTTCAATAAAAATAAATAAATAAGACAGTTGAGATGGGTGAAAGTATTAACAACATGTAAGATAATGGATTAATTTCCAAATACAAGCTCCCATAATTCAACAAGAAAAAAAGAAAAGAAAAATCGGTAAAATATATAATTAATCCATACTAAAAATGAGAGTTAATACTTACAAAAATATGCTCAATCTCATTAGTAGTGCAATAATGAGACTTTTTAATCAAATACTATTTTTTTCACCTTTCCAACTGGTAAAATTTTTAAAACTGAAAATCTCCGGAGTTGGCAAAGAAGACAGACAAAGGGAGAGAGTATATATTGGTACTACCTTTTTGGAGAGGAATTTAATGACAAATAATTTAACATATAAAGATTTAAAAGACAAACTCTTTGAGCAATAATTCTACTGTTAAGAACCTTTCACACAACACAATATGTGGAATCTAAAAAAGTGATACAAATGAACTTATTTACAAAACAGAAACAGACTCACAGACATAGAAAACAAACTTATGGTTACCAAAGGGTAATGGCAGGGGAGGGATAAATTAGGAGTTTAGGAATAACAGATACACACTATATATAAAATAGATAAACAGCAAGGACCTACTGTAGAGCACAGGGAACTATATTCAATATCTTGTAATAATCTATAATGGAAAAAAATCTGAAAAAGAATAGATATATATATATGTATGTATAACTTAATCACCTTGCTTTACACGTGAAACTAACACAACATTGTAAATCAACTATACTTCAATAAAAAATAAATTTAAAAAAAGCACTCTTGAACAACAACAAAAGAACCTTTCACACAACACAAATGTGTGGAAGGCTACATAGCCAATGATGTTTGCTGCTGTATTATCTGTAACAGTGAGAAACCAGAAACAGCCTATATGTCCATCAAATGTGAATGAGATGGCTACAGACATTATGATACACCTACACTAGGAAATAATTTGTAGTCATTAGAAGAATTCAAGTAGATCCATAAAAGCATATGGGAATGTCATCTATATTCTCAATGAAAAAAGCAAGTGAAGGACAATTATTATTTATATTAACTTTTCAAAATCCTGTGTCCATTGTTTACTTGGCTATGTGACTTTCAACAATCACCTTATTGGTGCCAATGACATCACTAATAAAATGGAGTGTAACAGTACTGTACCTACCTCACCGGACTGACAGGATAAGTAGGATAAACAATGAAGTGCACGTAGCATAGAGCTACATAGTAAATGCTGAGTTAATGTTAACTGTTATGCAATATTGACAGATTCAAGTTCCTATGGCACTAACTTAGGGTCATTTCTACATATAGTCTTGAAACTTCATCATGGCTCTGATGTAACAAAATTATCTGTTGGTTTACTAGGTTGTGAAGATGTCATCCACTGCTTACACTCATAAACTCTTGAAATACGTCAGCATATTTTGTGCAGCGAGCCACATAGTGCAATAATAATAATTATTATTATTAATAAATCTTCAAAGCCAAAAAGACATGAGTTGGGGGAAATGCAAGTCTTATGTAGCTAAAACTAAGAATGTAACTTTTAAAAAATTAAGTTATAATTAACACACATTATTACATAAGTTTCAGGTGTAGTGATTCAGTATTTTTTAAATTTTTCTTTCTTTCTTTCTTTCTTTCTTTCTTTATTTTTGGCTGCATTGGATCTTCGTTGCTGCGCGCGGGCTTCCTCTAGTTGCAGTGAGTGGGGGCTACTCTTCGTTGCGGTGCGCGAGCTTCTCATTGCAATGGCTTCACTTGTTGCGGAGCACGGGCTCTAGGCACATGGGCTACAGTAGTTGTGGCTCACAGGCTCTAGAGCGCAGGCTCAGTAGTTGTGGCGCATGGGCTTAGTTGCTCCGCGGTATGTGGAATCTTCCCGGACCAGGGCTCGAACCTGTCTCTCCTGCATTGGTAGGTGGATTATTAACCACTGCGCCACCAGGGAAGCCCCCAGTATTTTTATACATCACTGCAAGAAGACCATTTACCATCTGTCAACATACAAAGTTGTTAAAAAGGGCTGTGACATTTTTTTGATCTTACAGCATCACTTAG